TTTGAAGGGCATACCCATATCAAATACTTAACACTACCGCCTTCACATTAACGCGATAATACCAATGATTTAAAAGTTCCGTTGTTTGGCCACTCTTGATATTTTATGTTTTAATAAGTAAGTTAATTATGTCTTTCTTTAAATAATGCTATCTGATAATTCAAAGAATCAAACATTCGTGATTCTGTGTGAGGTGGTATTATGAAATTCAATTCACTAGAAAGTGTAGACAAATTATTAGTTATTTATTATACAACACCTTGTTTTAGTTCCATGGGAAAATATTTTTTTAAGACTATATTTTTTAAATTTGAGGTTCTCTCCGGACCGTATTTGGGTATAGGCTAGTATAATAGTAATTCAAGTTATTTATTTTTATTCCCGGAGAGCATAAATTACGTGAGATGGAGTGGTAGTATAGAGCGTCGTCCTATGTCAGAAGCGTCGTGAAGCGAGGCACTGTGTTAAAAGGCTGGTTAAGGTTACAGATGTTCTTCTCTCGGCCTCTTGATAGGCTATGGAAATAATTTCAACAAAAACATTTGTGAGTGGGCAAAGTCCCCCATCACATCGCGCCCTGTGTCCACAGTAGGCTTCGTGTGAGACTCGAACCCGCTAAAATCCCACAACGTAACTCATCGCCTGTGTGGCACTAGAGAATTGTGCTTATACATATGTTTCTGAATGGGATTGTGATTTTTATCAAATAGTTTCGAATGTTGATACTAAATCACCTGTTTTCAGTTAACGGACCATAAGCATTCAATCATCAGCTTTAGCTGGGTCAAAATTTAAATTAAATGTATAATGTATCTCCCTGTATGAAGGATATCAATGCAGAATGAGTAAGTGTTACTCTTTGGGATAAATTGTAAGGGTATTGCCATTATGCAAAAAATACCTATAAAATTAAAATTAACTTAAATATTATTTAAAAACTGGGAATTAATCATGAATCAGGGTATGATATCACAAAAGTTAAATTGAAATACTCCGTGTATTTTCAATTGTAATGAAATTTCGTAGATTTTTTGCCATTGTGACTGCTTCGGCTTTGAGACCTCGAGATTTATGCAGCTTTTGAAATTTCCATTACAGGGTATTTGAATTATTCACTTGTGATAGAAATACCCTTGCATATAAAGTCTAACATCTTTGTATTATGTCGGTTAGGGTTTCTGACCATATGAAAGGTTTTAGATCAAAAAGGATACGAGGATACAACAAATTAAACATGCTTTCAATTGTTATGTTATCAGTTACATCAGTGTTAACTTTATTTGGCTTTAGGAATAAGAAAAAAATATATAATTTTTAATACAGCGAACTATAAAGTGATCTTAATGATACAGAAGTTATATGAACAATAAATTTATAAATATCTATTATTTTAACACGCGAAACTGTTGATATCAAACGTGTTATTTAAAGTTGTTTTCGGTGCTTACGAGCCCTCGTTCACGATGTTTGAAGTAGTAACTTTTTAACACATTAGGTATATTTATTTATTCTACTTTAATAAAGTCATTCACGCGGGCGAAGCTGCGGGCGGAAAGCTATTTTATAATATTAATAGGCACAATCGATACATTTTATGAACATAAGATTTGAACCATGTTTTAAAAGCAAGTGAAAATTCATATACTTAATTCAGTTCAGTTTTCCGATTTACATTGTATCATGTGATTTAAATAAAACAAGATTATGTGTGATTGTAAGTAAATTATTAAAGTAATTTTGCTTTTGTTGAAATTTTTTTACAACTTTAATTAAAGGTAATTAATAGACTCTCCAAAACTTTTGTTGAATTTTGCTAAATTTCTTTGTAGGATATGGTTTTAAAATGTGTGAAGTTTTTTAATATACAAGTACACTTAAAAATGTATGATCTTAAAAACCTAAGATTTCGAACTACTAGTCATCAAGTCTTATCATTTGATACTTTACCTCGAGTGTAATAAAAATATCTGGTTCTTCATCTCGGGTGTTCAGTGATGTTGGATCTAAAATGACGTTATAGAGCTCAGTCGATCACAATGAAAGTGTTTATAAAAATTCAGGTCAACTGGTAAAAGATATCTATATGACTTTTGAGATAGAAGATTTCATTTAAAAATAGATATACACACATGCATTTAAAACTATATAACAGCTTGTAATAAAAATAAGAAATTAATTCAAATGTAAGAAACACAATAAAAAGGACCTTACCCGTAATAAAGGTGAGTAACTTCTTTCAAGAGTTTAAAGGTCAGTCACTTCTTTATTCCCTAAATAATGGCCCACTTCGTACATTTTCATTTCCGTCTATAATGTTCTTTTATTTTACTTGAAAGGAGATCAAAATTTTTCCTTTCAATTTATCTTTAAAAGTGTACCTTATTGTTATATATTTTACAAAGAACATTTTCATCTTTGTCATAAGATTTTATAGCAAACTAGATTTCACCAGCAATTTGGCATCCGTTTTTGAAGTTTTCTATCGGGATCTACGACAAATTAGAATTTCAAGACAGATTTTAAGTAAAGGTTTGAGTGATTAATAACTTCCTATACAAACAATCACATGAGATTTATAGGATTTTTAGAAAATGCTCCCACTAAATAGAATAAAACATATTTATATATTCAAAAGAGCTACAGAATTGTATATAGTGAATAACTTTAATTTTATTCAAATCCTTTAAATAACTTTAATTTAAAATCCTTGGAAATCTTTGGATTCGGATATAATTTGAATCGAGGTAATCGAAAGCATATATCCCTATGTATTCTTTTAAGCAACTAAGTGAAACTTAATAAGAATTAAACAAAAGTCTTAAAAAATAATATGTAAGAAACTATGTATGTATAAGTAATTTTATATTACAAGGAAGCTTCTGCAAGTTTTAGTTTTAGATTTTCAAATAAGTGAACAAAAACCGACTTAAAAAGAAACATAGGAACCTAGGAACTAAAAAGCAAAAAAAAAGTATTATACACTTAAATACATTTTTTTAACGCGCCTGTCTAATAATAAATTTTAAATATATGCAGAAAAATCGTCTAACCACTTATTTAGATAAACGGACGCTAATGTTATATCCCATCTAATAATCTAATTTAATACTTAACTAAATATACACAATTTCTTAATATCTAATCATCTTTTGAAATTGATACCATCTACACATTGTTTGAGAAATTGTAGCATACACATAAAAGACAGATTAATACAAATTGAGGACCTCCTCCTTTTTCGAAGTCGATTAAAAATATGTCTGGTTATACAAATATATGTTCAAAATTTTATTTCAACAACAATAAAATAAGTTATGATACTAAAACTTTAGGAGATCGCTTGGAACTACGATTCTTTTTCAAATTATATATTTTTGGTATCAATTATACTGAAGGTAAAATTTCAGAATTAATTTGAGATGTTAATAGAAATTGTAATTTCTAAAGTAGCCGAAAGCGTCCTTGTTTTGTAAAATTAAATCTTACAAAATGTTAACAACCGATTTTAAGTAAAAAGTGTTGAATCCCGAGCAATAGCACGTGTTTAACTGTTAATTGTTGTTTAAACTTATTTAAATTATCGGCCTTTTACAATTAGGAATAGAAATATTTTGATAAAATATTTATTTTTAAATACAACGTGCCTATAAAGTATAAATGTATAGTTTATGTTACAAATGAGATAATATCCACTTTCTATGAGTCGTTTATGCCCAACCTTAAAAATCAATTCAAAGAAATAAATAAATACATTTTCTATGTTTCCTGTATATTTTTTTTATGAATTACAGATTAAATTATGTATCCGCAAAGAGTAGAACATATTTCTTTTGAAAAAATCTTTTATTTTGACCTTTACATTATGAGAAGAACAAAAATGTTATGACAGCTACAGAGAGTTGAGTAAATGTATACAAAGTTTTGATTTGAAGGCTCAATAAAAACAAAATTACAGCAGTAGAATAGATAAAAACTTTTGCCATACTTCGAAATATTCAAATTCTTGATGTTAATAAACTAATGAAATGATATCTAAACAAAGTTGAAAATATAATCTTGGTAGGTTTCCAAGAAAATAAATAAGTTTTTTTTAACAAAAATATTTTCTAACATTCAAGTTTATTTTTTATGTCAATATTGTTTGTCTTTATGTAAGCTATGACAAACAATGAGATTAATTGTATTAATTATTTGAATAATGATAATGAAATAGAAGGCTACATATCACATTTTATTTGATCACGTTAAAGTGTTATTCGCTTCTCATTTTTAAAGACCAAAATACAAAATTTTAAATTATCTTTTATAAATTTTCAAAATTTTAGAATACAAATTGTATTTCGAATAAAAAGGAAAGAAATATTGAATAGAAAATCTCACATGGAACGTAGCTGTTGTTAAATAAGTTAAAAAGGAGAAGCTTTCTTTTCGGCCGGACATACTTTAAACATGTCTTTTTTAGCCTTTATAAAATGTGTTTGAACTTGTATTTCTATTATTAAATTCTTATAAAACATGCTTACAAAGACGTTTACTTTCGCAGCATATTTAAATTTTCTATAAACAGTAGCTATACTCAATAGCACAAAATTTCAGTCGTAATTGACTTTGTAATAAATTACAGTAGCAGTCTATCACAGAATTTTCTCATGGGACATTTTTCTGTGCTATAAAAGAATTAAGCCCTTATAAAATAACTTTTGTTACCAATTTAAGCAGACATCATAAAATTCCGTTGTAATTAACACTAGTTACTTCTTTGTGTTCTAATTTGATTTTTTTTAAACATTATAAGTGATTAGTAAACCTGGCGAACTCCGTTTCGCCACCAGAAGGCTTTTATATAACATTTCGTTTGGTGATTAAAACAACTGATCGTCCAACTGATCGACCAACTGATCGACCAACTGATCGACCAACTGATCGACCAACTGATCGACCAACTGATCGACCAACTGATCGTCCAACTGATCGTCCAACTGGTCGACCAACTGATCGTCCTACTGATCGTCCAACTGGTCGACCAACTGATCGACCAACTGGTCGTCCAACTGATCGACCAACTGGTCGACCAACTGATCGTCCAACTGGTCGACCAACTGATCGACCAACTGATCGTCCAACTGGTCGACCAACTGATCGTCCAACTGATCGACCAACTGATCGTCCAACTGATCGACCAACTGATCGTCCAACTGGTCGACCAACTGATCTTCCAACTGATCGACCAACTGATCGTCCAACTGGTCGACCAACTGATCGTCCAACTGATCGTCCAACTCGCTTCTATCTAAGAACAAACAGGGCCTAACCCTCGCAGCGTCTACTCAGCGTTACACAATACAATATTTGAATCCAGTTCCGGCAATGAATCTTTAATATATGTAGGTACAAAAATATAACACGATTCTCATATAAATTTCTTTAACACGAACGAGAAAAACTTGTACAAGAATATATGTACTAAGAATATAGAAACTCTTTGGATAAAAAATGTATTTACTGGCTGACCTTTGTGCATGCAACATCTACGCGTGACATTTGATTATTAAGAAAAAATGTTGGTTAAATGAAGCCATAATATACAGGGTGACTGGTGAATTACTATCGATACTTGAGGACGTGATATTTGACGATCATATATGACAAAATAAAAATTAATATAACATAAATATTAATAAACTTCTAAGTAAAGTTAACCAAAAGTTATGTCATTAATTACGCATCGTGTGAACACCCTACAGATTAGGTATACACACACTCACACACTCGCGCGCGGCGGCGTGGTGTTGTATCAGCACGCCGCCGCACGCGTCCACACTTGGAACACTTGGAACGTGTCCACACTTTATTTATTTATACTGAAATTTGGTCAAAAATTAAGTACCTATTTTTTTTACATAATTCGAATGAGAATCATGTACCGAGTATTCTCCTAAAATATTGATAGTAATTCACGAGTCACCCTGTATATATACATATACATATTACAAAATTAATATTTATTATTTATTTATATGAAATTGGTCAAGAATTTGCTTTTCTATGTATGTACTTTAATCAAATGAACAGATGTTTTGAAGGTAATGCTTTTTGCGTTTGTAAATTTTCGTTGTACCTTTTTTGAATAAGTAGAAAAATATCATAGGCGTATATATATATACTATATATATATATATATATATATATATATACTAGTAAACCTGGCGAACTCCATTTCGCCACCAGAAGGCTTTTATATAACATTTCGTTTGGTGATTAAAAGATGAAGAATTTTTTGTTTTATATTTGAAAAAGAAATTTTTTATTTCATTTCACAACAGTAATGAATTCATTTCGATTATAAAAATGAAGTGTTATTTAGTTGAACTTCTCTAAGTAAATGAAAGTGAATCCAAAGTAGATACCGAATAGAAGCGTAATACGTGTCCGCAATTATCCGTTTCATTGAAGTGCTCCTTTGTAAACCACATTTTTTGTTTTTTGGTCTAACTTTAACACAAATAACAATTTTTATATAGTAGATTTCTTACAAATATCTAATTGTCATCCATACGTCATTACATATCTGTCATTATACGTTAATTGCATAGCTGTCAATTGTGTAATTCCACGTTTTATAATGACTGACGTTTCATGTCAAGTCCCACGGGAATGCTGTCGAACGGGATAAAAAGTATCCTATTGCAATTTCCTGGCTCTAAACTACCTCCCTGCCAATTTTCAGCTAAATCGGTTCAGCCGTTCTTGGGTTATAAGTGGAGTCACTAACACGACTTTCTTTTATATATATAAGATATATATTTATTATTACTTTACCTTTTGTTAGGATGGAATGTTGAAGTAAAGTTTATTTAAATTCGCCGACCCTAAGCCGTTTACAGTTCTCTGAAATGCTTTACTAACAAACGTCTATTAAGAGGAATATACGAGAATTTGAACTCACAGCACTGTATTTAGGTGAGTGAAGATACAAATATGACAAGGCCGCCGAGGAGTTGAAACTTTTATAATGAAAAGGAGCCTCCATTTACTGTAGTTTACGAAAAGGCTTAACTAACTGACTAGTATTTGAGGATTTCGTGCTACTTAATACAACATTCAATGTGCTTTCCACAGTTAGTGAGCTTTGTACAAAGTCGTAAAGTAGTTGATAATAAAACCTTGACTGAGTCAAAGTTAAGTGATTAATATAAATTTCAAAGAAACGTCATGTGCAACTTATTAAAGTATTAAACTTACTACGAGTTTGGATAATGTTTTAAAGTTTGTGCTTCCCGTGAAGATTGCACAAACAAGCTATTTTCTCTCATTATATCTAATTAGTGACTCTTTATAATAGTGAATTTATAATTACTGAATTAATTTAAATACATATTCATATATGTACATAACTCTTTATGAATTTATCGGTACAATGCACAGTATCTTTTAAATAAAATTATAATTTTATGACATACAAATTTCATGATGATGGACAGCTAGACAGATTTATGAAGAGACTTTTCATACTTAACATTATTATTGAATAAATTTTCTTACAAAACAATAAACATTTTATATTTCTAATAAAAAATTATAACGAATGTCCCATGTATTTGTAAATTATCATGATTAAAACAAGTTGAAACTAAATAAATTTTTCGTCTTTAATTAATTTGAAGAACAGTGTTAAGTTCTTTAATTGGTTCAGTATTCACACCTGTGACTTCCAGAGCAGCTCAGTTTCTTTGAATAACAAATATGTATATACCTTTCAGTGTTTCGTAATGGAGTCGATAAATTTATATTTTTAAATGTGACCGCGAGAAAAAGTATTTGTGGAGAGTTCCCATTTACGAGTCTAAGGTTTCTTACGATAAACCAATGTAATGATTTCCTGCTTTTTATATCCCTTTGTTATACGTAAAATAAAGAAATCGACAAATGAAAATGTAAATCTTCTACAATGTAGTATATTTTACTTTGGAATATTCTGTAATCTAGTTCTAAGTATCCTTATATTCTGTGTACCTTATAGTCTTTGACATCTTTGTGTAGATCTTTATACAGAGTACAAACAAAGAGATTTATCTGTTCCACTTAAGTTAAACGGAACTAGACCATTGTTTTGTTTTATATGAAGCAGTTCCTGATCATTGTTGTATTTGACGTGAAGAAATATTACAAAGTCAACGTCCATTATTCTGTATCATTCAACTTGTTTGATAAAAATTATATGAAGAGTATAAATTGTAAGAATTTTGTTACTATTGTAACGTAAAATAATAATCTTTTTTTATATAACAGATATCATAAAGAAAAAAAAAACTAAATTGATGTTGTGACCTCATATAAAAATAGCGACTTCGTTGATTAAAATTAAAACAGTATGGTTGTTGAAAAGTCAGTGTTCTTTGTTTCATTGTAAGAAAATATCGTATTATAATTATATGAAAGTAGTCAAGTATTAAGAAGACATGTATTAAGCATTTTTCTAACTTTAATTGGTACTTAGTTAAAATTTACTTTTGACCTCTTCATAAGCACACTGAATGTTCTATATAAATCTTCAATTTAATAGATCATAAAGTGAATAAAATAATAACACTAACATCGTAACTTTAACAGAATTATGCAAATGCTATTCAGGAGTGCGTTATAAAATTTTAAAATATGCGGGCGGTAATTAACTGCTTCCAGAATTAATTATGATATCATTAGGTTATGTAGTGTGGATGATGAAAATTATGTTTTAAGCCAATAAAATACTTACGAGACAGTCTACGCTTATGAACGATGTTAATATATGTAGATACTATAAAAAGTAATAAATAGTTTTGAAGAGTTATGCTATTAATAGTAGTAGTACTCACATAAGTAAGTGTCTTTCATGTTTTTCACAAGACCTATTCTATTATTGTATATCATAAAGTCACCAATATGTAATTGAAAATCAAATTATTGCTCGACGATACAGATTTTAGTTTCAGTTGAGTAAAATAAAATGTACTAATTTCTCAGTATGTATGATTACGTGATAATAAAAGAAAAAATAATAGACGATGCTCCAGAACAAGCAAAATGATATCTAAAGAATAAAAATAAATTTAAGGTGTAAAAGGATTTAGTAGGATACAGTAAAGCAGTAGGTCGACAGTCATGGTGAGACGTTCAACTTAGACGTACTATTAAATAAATTCTTTCATGTAATCGTAAGCTGAGGGGTTTTGTTGTTGTTCTGTCGTAGACATAACATGTTCAATAGAATAATGCCACGTAATTGTATCCAAACTCTTGCGAAGCGTTCTTAAAACACGGAACTATGTACTTAACCAATAGAATGAAATGTACAAGAATTTAGAAATTAGTAAGTTTCTTTCATTGCCATAGATGTTTTTTTATACAATGTTCAAAAATATGTATCTTTTATCTCTTTGTGTTATAACATTCCTAATAAACTTATTAAATGTTCTCTTCGAATACTGTATAGAACATAATATTATTAAAATTTGTAACTTGTATAAAATAGTGTATGTAATTACCCCATTATAAGATTTATTGGAGTTCTAAGTTAGTATTACCGTTTAGATTAATGAGTTGGTTAACGTAACATTAGGTATTTATGGTCCATATAAGAAAAAAATACGACAGGAAAGAAACCGAATAGGGTATTTTGAGTTCTCTTTTACTGTGGATAGCACAAGAGATGATAAAATAAAAATAAGGGAGACAAATATCAAAGAATTAGTTTATTGTCATAAATATATAATTTAGACAAACTTACTTGGTAAATAACTTAGAAATAAGATATAATATGATAATTTTTTAAAGACAATTATTTAAACAAAGGAACATTACTCGATGGTGAAATAATTAAGATACAGATGAGATGAAACATGTCATCAGCCTATCAGAGCCCACTGCTAAGCAAAGGCCTCTTGCTCACACGGAGAAGGTTTGAGCATTAATCACCACGCTTCCTCAAGACGAGTTGGTGATTTCAAACTTATAACTGTGAAATTATAAGTCCAGGTTTCCTCACGATGTTTTCCTTCACCATGAGATGAAACATATGAAACCTTTTTCGCTTGATATTTTCTCACAAAAATTAATGAAGGGAAACACGGATGTAGGCCTATTTATCTGTTGCTACGTACTAAATTACTTTATATGACTTGAATGTAATTGTTAATGTTCCATTAATTTACTCTGTTGCGAAAACAAAACGCGGTAGTAACAATACGGAAAGTAAATAACAGACAAATTAAGCAATTGTGAGCTCATCTAAAGACATTCATTCATTTTCTTTTTTTATTTAAAAAAAAATTGCACGGAGTTTTTTGTACGTTTTTGTAAAAGCTTCATTTATTTAAATTGTCTCAAACATTTTAGTACTATAACAAATTTGCTTAAATTAATTATTATTGTTGGATAGGTTCAAGCTATAAAATGTGGAAGAGAAATTATCTTGTGTATAAATTTCGAGGATTATTTACATTACTGTAAACTGCAAAAAAATTCAGTACTTCTACCTAAAAGATAAGTAAATATAGCGTTTACAAAATGTTAATAAGTGAATATTTTGATATATTACTTATTCTGATTTTTTTTTGTAATAAAACACATATTTTATGTTCTTTCATTGATTTATTTGTTTTGTCTTCGTTATACTTTTACTGATTGTAAAAATAATCTTTATGCTAGAGGATATCCGATATTACATGGAGTTTCTTGATATAGGTCGTAATTAATCCGAGTGGACGTTTTATTATAGCTAAAAGCTTAGTTGCGATGGGTGCCTGAAAGCCGGAGGTATTGTCCAATTAGGTAATCCTGATGGTAGATAAAATAGGTAGATGGTAGTTAGGTTGATAGTCTAAGTATCCAAAAACATTAAGCTTCCTTTTGAAATTGCCGATATTGTTTTCATGAAAGATGTGGTTTCTTAATAATAATCAATTATAGAATTAGTTTGGAATTTTTATGTTTACTGGTTAAAAAACTTCTTGAAATACTTTCATAGCAAAACTGTGTAAAAGTCACTTGAAATCTTTTGTTTTTCTAAATTTTCAAACTGATTAGACTGTACATTTTTATATACTTAAGTATGGGGGCGACATAAAAATGACCCCAAGTCCTTAAATAAAAAAATATATACATGTATAAATTTCATAAAATATTAAAACTTAGTTCTTTTCTCGAATATAGTATGTTGTAAATGACATAATTCTTTCATTCGTCAATAAAGTAAAATATCTACTTTAAATTTTGGTCTGTTTTATTAAATAGTTTCCTCCAAAATGAAACATTTATAATTCAAATTAGCTCTTTGGGATTTAGTTCTCGGTTGTAATTAGTTTTGTAGATTTCGCTATAGTGTGGTGAGGCTTAGCATGATATTTCATCGCTAGAATAAATTTAGCAAATTATTTACGAGTATATTTTCCCTATATTATGATGCTCATTACAGATGTGATAAAGATCATTTAAATGGAAAGAAATGAATTAATTGTTAATACTTTAGTTATAATTGTTTTAAAAAATCCATCAAAAATATTCACATAAAAATATGTTAATAGATTTATATATAAAGGTTTGTAAATTTTTGTTTCAAGTGAGGAAGTTTCATAGACATCTACTTTTTGTTCAAAATGTACTCATTTATATATCTAAAAAAATATGTTTTCAATCGAGCTTTATAAATAGGTTATGTATTGGAGTAACATGAGAGTTATTCTGACGTGATAAAGTACATAAGTTCCTTTCATGTAGCCCCTATGAATGACTTTATATTCAAGAAAAAAAGTGTATTTAAATGTAATTATTCTATAAAGCGGAACAAGACATCGCCTCTATTGTTTATGTTTATCAAATGCTTGAGAAAAGAATAAGTTTTACTTTTATAGTGCTGTCATAAATTCTAACCACAGTTACATTTTTAGGTGGTAGAGCCTAGCTGTGGTCAAGTTACTGCAGCTCCAACATGGGCTGGCTCGACCGGGGAAGTACCACCCTCTTACAGAAGATCGGCTTAAAGTAGCCTTTAATGGGTGCGTTTCGTCTGGTGAGTGAGAGAGCCGGTTGCCCTTTTCCTGTTCCCACCCTTTCCTACTATTTCCTTATTCCTACCCCTCCCTTTTCCTTAACAACTAAGGTTGGCAAAGCATCCGCAACATCTATGTTGCAGATGTCCATGGGCGACGGTGACTCCTGCCCATCAAGGAGGCCGTCAGATCGTTTGCAACCTTTCACATAAAAAAAAAACATTCTTACCAGTGGCGTGCACATCATAGATGCAAATAAGCACTGCGTACCCTACCCATATAACAACTAAACCTACATATATTGTTTAATTCTTATTTACGTACTTTTAGTCATACATTACGAAATAAAAATGTTTACAGACATTTAAAATACATATTTTGATTCATGATTTGTTAAAAGTTCCATGTATAAAGTACATAAAAAGAAACGAAACGAGGCGAAACGAAACGATACGAAATTGGTATTTTATTTTTCAAACATATTCTGCTTACCCTACGCCAAATCTCTGTGCACGCCACCGATTCTTACTCTTAAAAATAACTTAACTCCTTTATGGTTTCTTCTAAGCGTACATACATAGAATATATATAGTAAAATTTAGTCTTTATTTAGTTTTTTAAAATTCTGCTCCGATAGATAGTTAAACGGAAAGTTTAGATACCTTAAAAACCACGCAATCATGCGATGAGCTCTGTATAACGTATATATAGTGTTTTGAAGGCATTAAAGTTTTACTTTATACCTGGCTGTTGAAATGAGCTGTAGGGCGTTACTTTCCTGACAAGCTATTACTTTATAGCAACATTAAAGGCTTACGGATAAAGTGCGGAGTTTTGACGTGCTCAAGTATTGGATGGCTTATTGAAACATTCAGCTTGTTATCTATTGTCAGTTATAGAACAATTTCTGTCTTCGTGTACAGGATTACAGAACTTAGTAGTATAAAAGTAGACTTGTATGAAATGGCGAAGATCGAACTTCTTATCAATCTAAACTATCACTTCGAGGTCGTTCTAATTCCGCAGGAATAAGACAATCATAACCTTGGCTTCTGAATTTAATACAGTTTTCATTTCACATTCATTTAACTAGTATTTGTTTGTCAAATATTTAATATAAATTGTCAACATATAACTGTTTCATATCATTTTCTAAACGGGAAAGTGTATATAGGTACAATGATGGTCAATACAAAATTTAGCACGAAAAAATATGTTAGTATGACTTTTGATGTGTATACTTTTTAAAAATTTTATTAAACTTGAGTAAATGTCATATACATTTATATTTCAATGATATGAGATGATTTATGTACATATGTGAGTATTAATTCAATAGCACTATATCGATAATTGTAAGTTATTACAGAAGCAGCTGGAGATATATGTAGATAAATTACTGTCGGTGCTTCATTACAGATTTAATTGTATTTATGTAAACGTTTGGCAAATTTAATGATAAAATATAATTATTATAATTAAACATTTAATTGAAAAGACTATAGTATTGTATAGACTTGATAGTTTTATTATAAATTTGATCGAAGGAAACGTCATTTAAAATTACTGCGACATAAAAAACAAGTTTAATTATAGCCATGTTGTCTATACTGCACATATTTTGAGAACACAGCTAAACAGATACAAAATCTATATAATTTTTATTTTAGTTTAATGAATCGGAAAATGATTAAATACTTACGAGAACTTGCTCTTTACGTAAAATATTTTAGACTACTCATTAAATGTAATTTACGTTGAAAAGTATTTTTTTTATAACGATGATACTTTTGTAGCCAACTTGGATCTTTTAATTGCCAATAATAATAGGGATGAAATCACATTATATATGAATTTTAATATTATTGGGTTAATAATATAATATATTGGAATTGAGTAATAATGTAACTAGATAATGTCAAATAATCCTTCTTCGTAATTGAACGCTACGACATACATATACGGTTTAATTTTATTTCGTTAAAATAAGCCATCTACTTATATAATAATAGCATTTTATTAATTACAGGCATTTAATTTAAGATCCTTAAACTATACTGAATCCACAATCTTGCCATTAAGCTGACGGTACATATATGTATATGTATGTATATATATACATATTCATCAAGTTTACTTCCGTGGATGAGTTCTATACATCTTGTTAGAATTTTGTTTATTTTCTATTTTTCGGGAACAATTTGTTGCTTTTTCTTTGCCGAACAAAACATTTAAAAACGGTTTTATCTTAATATGAGCATCATGTTTTATCATCTTAATCATTAAATTGCCAATATTACCCAGACTTCATGGCAAACTCCATTTGGACTTATAGAAGCTTAATTTAGACGTTTTTAGTTCCATTTTCCGACCCTGAATTTGAAATTGGTGGTCCGGTCTAATTTGTTATAAAAACCACCCCATATAACTGGTCATAGAACATAAAACCTCTTGTCGATCGTACATTCAGTTGTCGAGATCATCTCCGTGGATGAATGACCTGAGTCATCATTATAGCGTGTTTTGTTGTCTAATATTTATAATTAAACATATATATTTATAGTATGTATATCTCTATGTCCAGGATACACCACTGATGACACTCTGGTATAAACGTGACGGTGAGTACCAGCTACCGAAGTCATTCGTCACTTTGGATCAAGTAAGGTGAGAATTTCTACTGACTATTTCACATTACACGAAAAGACATGCATTCATACTAAAAACAGCAATACCTACACTAATAAATTGGTCTCTATTACAAAAATTCTACATTTATATATGTACATAAATCGCTAATAAAATTTAATTCGTCATTCGTCATCAGCCTATCAGAGCCCACTGCTGAGCAAAGGCCTCTTCTCCCATAGAGAAGTTTTATAATATATCAAAATTCTTGATAAATTATACAAAATATTCAAAACTACCCTATTTTTCTACCTAATTCACTAACTACCCTCCAACAATTTCCAGCCCTCTCGCATACTCGGACCCTCTGGACTCGAACCGTCTGCTGAATCTTAACATCGATCTGGGTTTTATTACTCCGGGACAGCATGCAGCAGTTCGCGTATTCTGCAGAACTGACAGGTCTTAGGTGGAGTGGGGGCAACGCTAAATATGGAGTCAGTGTGAGTAGAAATCATTATATTTATTCTCAATCATAGTTTAAATAGAAATTTTAGTATGTGATTGATGTTCTTCTACTATACACCTGTAATCCAGGTATACATATGTAAAAAACATATATATATATAAGAATGTAGTGAGATTTTTAATGTTTTCATTGTGTATGTAAGATGTTTTAGTCAGTATAATATCAGTAATAGACGTCAAATTTCATTTAAACGTTAAATGGTGATATTCAAATTAAATATTTCTAGCTGAATTTGTGCGTTCGTTCACTTTTAAATCTTTCTTGCACATTGAATACCTGCGTATACGTTCAAAACACTGCATGCACATTCCCGCCTCCATCCAAATGTATGTTTAAATCAACTCCGTATAATGCTCTGCATATATCGTAATTATTATAATAACTAACTTACATCCATCTACTATAGAAATAAGATTGGTTCCGAATACTGTTTTTGAATTATTGTATCCAGCTTATAGGCCAAGAGGCTTCCACCTATATAAGACTTATAATGACTCCAGGCACAGATAATTAATAATTAGCATACAAAAGTGACAATACTTATGTATAGGGTAGGTATTTACACTTTGGTGGTCTACAAAATCTTAAAAAGCAATATATTCATTTTTGACGAGTGACAGGTAAGTTTGTATTTATAAACAGGTAAGCTCAGAGGTACAGGCTGGTGTGAACAGGTAAGTCCGGAGTTGGACAGGTAAGTATGTATAAACAGGTAAGCTCAGAGGCACAGGTTGATGTGACTATTGTACAATGTCAGTAACTTTGTTGAACAAATAATATCTTATACTATACATGTACCCAATGTACCCAACTTAACGCTCTTATAATTTATTCAGTATTTATTTAACAAAATTATCTCTTAAATACTTAAGAAACTGAAATAATAAAGAAATCGCTAATATTTATCTTAAAAATAAAAAGAAACGAAATTCAAAATTCGTTTGGAAAGTTAATGAAAGAAAAGTTAAAATTCAACATAACTTCCAACTTACGGATCAGCACCGAAAAATGCAACAAACGTTTAAAATTCATAGCTTTTGATAAACTTTATCTTCGCTCATAAATGTTGAAAAAAGATTTCATATTAATTTGGATCAATTATAATTTTTTTTTCAATTAGAAATTTCAAAAAGTTATCTTAAAATATATTCATTGTGTTTAATTACCAAGAATTGAGCTTCTATATTAATTTTATTTATATGTTACTTTATGTTTTATTACCAACGTTAAAATTTCGAATGAGTATATACTGTAGTCAATTCATAAAAAAGTATTGCCTTCATTGTTTGTGATTCAGTTATATTTTTGTTATATAAAAACATGACTGGGAATATTTTATTTCATGTTGTGAGGAGCTTGCGTCATCTATCAAATAAACGTCTTACGAAATAAGTATAACAGAAATACTCCTATTGTGAGTTATTGTTTTAGATATAGTCGCTCGGGAATCTTTTATTTAAATAAAATACATAAAGAAAGTCACAATAGATTTATTTTATGTAGCCTCTTAATAAAGTTCACACAGTTAGTATAACTAGTATAATTGCTATGTCGTTCACGACTAAACCATTGACACAATAAGAATGTATTTGTTTGAAATAAGATTTTCATATCAAGTTTTTTTTATCCATACAATTATTGTTATGCTAAAAGCTAGTTTAATAATTTCTATTAAATATTCATTTTATCCTGGGTTGATTTATATATGATTTCAAGTCAAATTTGGCAGAGAAACGAATAATACATAATAGGTAATAAAAATAATAGTTAAATTAAACGAATATTAGTTGATAATACAAAAACGTAGTACTAGAAGTTCTTTTTGTTTATAAACTACCTAAGAAGATGTTTTACGTCATCAGGTAGAATTGACTGAAAGAGTGGCATATATATTTTTGGTCTATTCAACTGAGAATAACATTAAGACTTTTTGTTTAATATCCACTTTTATAACTATCTATCTCAGAACTCTTCCTCATATGTAGAAACACAGATATTTTTCCGTTCGGAAAGTGATTTATCACTCTTCGACCTAACAGAAGATGTTTTGACCGCAACGATTTATACATGCTTATGTATTCTTTTTTTCTAAGGATGTAAGCATACATCCTTAGAAAAAAAGAAGGAGACAGTAAAGTCAGTAAGGACAACTGGGCATCGGTGCTTAAGTACAATAAAACTTTTTGCTATCTTTGTCTTAAACTAATCTAAAACAGATTGAATGCGTAAATCATTTCAAAGTTGTCTTTCTGCTTTTTTAGTCAAGTAACAAAATTTTCTACGAAACTAATCCATGGCAGATAAATCACTATTTATAGATATATAATTAAGTATATTCATATTTATTAAAATTATATTATTGGTAGAAGGTTACCAAGCGCACCAAGCGCTCAATGGGTCTTTCGATAATAGAGCATTTTATAAATTACTTCCACACCATTACTTACATTAAGTGATCATTATTTTATGTTATACCAAATTATTATATTTCAATTCAAAGAAGTTGTTACATTTCAAATTGTACTTCAAAAATCTTATGTTATACAGTTATCCTTTAAAAATCCCTTGATCATTTGTCGGGGAAATTATAGTTGTTATGATTTATTAAACTCCTTTTTTATGAGAAGTATGAGAATTTGAATGAGAATCGCATACCACAAATACATGTCGTTTTTAATAAACTAACAATAATTTGTTGTAAAATTTGATTTTTCAATAATTATTTACAAAATCAACCCCTGCATTCATAAACAGGTCAAGTTGGGTGAAAAAGAAAATATAACATATCAAAACAAATACTTGGTGTCAAAACGAATATGCGGATTAAAATAACAATAAGAAGTTCGTTTCGATATTTTTTAACTTTTTATTTATTTAGTGCTGAGAACCTAAGGAAATTAAAAAAAATATTATCAACGAAATTATAATATTTAAATTGCTCAAAACTGTCAGATTTGATATGTAAGTGATGTTTCATTTTCCAGTATTTATTAAATTTTATTTGTATGTCCAAGTACATTTAGTACTGTAGTCCTGATAAAAAATAGTTCGGGAAATTAGTTAGAATTGGAATATTAAGTTGTATTTTAAATATTTTAAATATTGGATAAAGTAGCTGTTTGATGGTGAGGAGACCTTTCTTACGTGCATCTCGTTTGTGAAATTTTGAGTCTGAAATTGACAAAATTGAACATGTATAGCATAATAGAGAAAGAAAGACGTCTTCAAGAATCATTCGAAAAACGTGAAGAACGGCTTTCTCAAAGGTGCATTTATATAAAAAGAATTTATTTCCCTTTGTTTAGATTTTCTTAAACTTTCTCAGGATTTATTGCTCAGGTCCTGTTGTAACCATTATAAGACCATTTGTGAAATCACCATCCCTACTAATATTATAAATGCGAAAGCAACTCTGTCTGTCCGTTACGCTGTCATGCCTAAACCATTGAACTGATTTTAATGAAATTTGGTACAGAGATATAGTTGACCTTGAGAAAGAACATAGGATAGTTTTTAACCCAGACTAGTGAAAGGATCTCTTGGAAACGCGATATAACCGAACTCCACGCGGGCGAAGCTGCGGGCAGAAAGCTAGTTATAAATAAATAAATCAAAATTGAATAGCATTGAAGTTACTCATTCACTTCTTGTAGACTTAATGAAAATTTTAGACTTTTAGGGTTTTTTAATGGTTGCCACATATATACAGTGTAGCTCCAAATTGAAATAGGATGAAACAGGAAGCACTAGCTTTTAAATGTAAAAACTATAATTGTATTGGCTTCACCCAGTCGAAAGGTAACAAACATAAAAAAGACGAATTGATAATCTCCTCCTTTTTGAAGTTTGTTGAAAACTTGTTGAAAGCTAAACAAACAATTGTCTACCATATTGTTATAAAGTGTCTAATATCAAAGCCTCTTATGAAAACTATAATATCGTTGTTCCGACTACTTGTTTTCACTCTTAATCAGTGAATACAATCACACTTTTCCTTAAACTTAAATCGTATGAAAACATAATTAAATTAAATTTTTGCAGGTAATACATTTTTAATAGCTATTTTAATTTTCCGTTTTTTGTTCAGCTCATCTACCTTTAGTTACGACAATAAATGAATCCATTAATTTTTTTAATATTTTTATTATTACTTTGTTTTAATAGATATTTATATAAATAATTTGTAATAAAAAATTTGAAATATAAGTTTGTATAAGAAGGGGTTTAAAATTTTATTGACGATATAATTCTTGTCTTCGCTTCTGCTAGATCGCAACATAATCCTCGAAAATATGAGCGCAGGTTATCTCCCAGCACATTACGTTTTTGGTAAATGTTATCCTACAACTTGTTAGTAAAATAGTGAATACTCTGTTACTAAAGTTTTTGTATATTTTACCAGTTAGTTATTTGAATAAATTTAGGGGAAATTTTAATTAAATTTTATGTTATTAATGTTATAAACACCCAAAAAAAAGTAATGTATAGGTGCTATTAATATTATTTTAACGATATCTAAAGTAATATATTGTTAATAACAAACTTTATTTGTTTTTTTTTTTATTTGTACGTGGGGAAATGCATTACGAAAACTAACTCACTACAGGGACTTCCCATTAAAAGCACATGAGATCCATCTTTGACAGCACAAGGAAGCTCTGAAAACTTTTGAGGTCATTTAAGACCTCTGATTTGACCAAAATACATATTTGGAGTCCTTTGTCATAGGTATGCGCTCATGTGCGGCAAGTATTTACTGATAATTAGGTAGGTACTATTATTAATTAAGATTATTCGTTCTAGGAACAGCCTTGTCTCCTAGCAATTATTATTTTATTATATATGATGATTATCTGTAATAATTAGATAGTCTAGATGAGCGCCTTGTTATTATTGACGTGCGACGTTACGCTCGTGGAGAATCACGCTGTTCAAGTCAAGAGCACTCGTCAAACCACACCCAACGTCTGCGACCAACGGTCGTCTTATAGCCCTTATAGCGTTACATAACTCTACTATCATAGGCAATTTAATTGAAATATTTTAAAGTGTGATTTACCTCCCAGCTTTCAATAAGAATGAAGATAAGCCTCTGCGTATATACAAACACATTAGAGGTACAAAAATGTGAGTAACAATTTGAAATTCTAAATTCAAGTTAGAAGGCTTTAATCTGACTAAAGCATCGAGCGGTTAAAACTATTTTAATTTGAATTTCATAAACCGACGTATACCATAAACGTGCATTTCTATGAGCGAGCTTAAAGTTCATTTAATCGTTGTACGTTTGCTAGTACGAGGTGATATTAATTAAACATAGTAATATGCGAAACGCGATGTATGAGTTCCTTTGATTTGAGAGCATTTGATGTAGAGCCATTTCATTAGATATTGTTTATGGCGATTTTATTAAAGTATTGGTTTAATATTTAGGCGATCGCATATTTATGTACTCCTTACACTTTAAATTTAGTGGAAAGCCTAGTTAGATGAGTCATAGGAAAGAGTAATGCTCTATATTTATCAGTGGTTTCATTAAAAATGTCATAAACGAAAACATGTGTCTTCTTAGTGTAAAAACGAGGATTAATAAAAGAGGCCTACCTTTTTAGAACTCTAGAATAGAATTACTACATTTCATTGCCACAGGTTCTAGTAGAGCAAATGTAAAAGTTTAGAGATAAATGCTGACTCTTGGATAATTGTTCAATTTGTTGTAGATAATCCTAAAGAAACTTGTCGCGATGAACTCAGAAACATTCATTTTTAACTTAACAGATTGATAACCTACCTAAGGAACTCATGTTAGGAAATCGATCTTATGTTAGTAATAAAGAGGTTCGATGGTTTTAATACAGCTTATAAATGCACCTCTGAGAATTTGGACGTAATTTCCCAAAGACAGTTTAAGACACTTTATATGTGTAGAGGACTGAGGGGCAGTGAGGGAAGATCTGTTTCTAATTTAGAACCGTCTATTTAGATACTTTTTTCAGTTATGAATCCAGAAAGAATTAACATTCTCACTGTCTCATTTGCATAGGAGAATTTTAGCTCAAAACCTGACACTTAGCCATACAACATGAAATAGAAATTTCGTGATGAGCAAGATGATTTCCGAGTATAATGTGAATTAAATTTGAAAATATAATCTATCTTCTCGTTATTACAAAGGAAACAATTATGCAACTACAGTAAGAAGAAAGGACCTTCTTGTTTTCACACATAAAAATATACAAACAGTAATATGGTTATTTTATGTACTTATAAACTTTCAAAGTAAAAATAACATATATTTTTTTCAACCAGGTAATTAGTTATGGTTGTACTTGATGATTTTGTTAAAAAGTCAAATCCAAAATTATAAAAATCTTTCAATTGTGTCAGAATTAACAAGGAGGCAATTTTATTTCATATTAAATAGTGGAAACAATATAAGAGTAAATTCGATGATACATTAATGTAATTCTGTTGTAATAGCTTGAACAGATAATAGATTAAGACCTCCATGATATTAAGTGCTTAAACATTTAATGTCGGGGAGGTTTATGTCGGATTATTGAATTACTTATGCACGTTTACATTTACGAAACTAAACTAAATTGTTTTGAATGGAACCATAATATATCTTAACATATTAATAGCACACATTTATACGAAATACATGCACAAAATATTTGTATTTAAATACTTTATTTGGAAATACATAATTAGGAAAATTTTACCCCTCACGATTTATTTATACCGAAATAAATAAATATTTAATAATAAAATTTATAATTCATAAACAATAATAGTGATGATTCTGCTGAAATTTTAAAATTTACTCCTGAATTTTTTCAAATAAGAATATAATTTCTATTTATGTTTTACCTATTAATTATAGATTTCTTATGAATCTTTTTTAGATTCAATGTATTTATGGTTAGCTATATTAATAGTGACAAAATCTATTCTCAAAATTTCAACCGTTCACATAGTTAAACTTTAACATTGGAGTTTGTTAAATGATTTGTCCTGGGAGCACAAATATGTATAATAATGAGCTTAAAACAGTGAGGCACACCAAGTTTCTCGTACAATCTGGTTGGAATAAAGCAACTCTACTCTGTTATTGACGTATTTTGCTTTGTGTGGTTCAGAATTTTGTTTCTAAGTTGGATATAGAAAACAATGGTTGCGTATTCGAATGCATAAAGTTCCTGAGATGTAATTAATCTTTTAATCTTTGTGGAACCATAATAAATGAAAATGTTATCACCAAATAAAAAATAAATAGATATTTTTTAAATAAAGTTTACATTTTTAACACAAAATGACAACCATCTTCTGTTTTAAAAGTCAAGCAGTTCTATTTTAAAGTGGTTTAGTTTTTTGTATTTTTTTTCTCAATTAATTTAATTTCATAGTTTTAGGTTTATGATATACTATTTTAATAAGCGTTAGAGACGATGAATTTTTAATATAAATTTTGAAATATTATTTAAATCAATATATAACCGTACAATTTCAACAAGGTAACTGCGTAACTTTAGCTAAAGTCAGAAAGCCGAAGGCAAATAAAAAATATAGTAAAACCGGTTTTATTAATAAAAATTAACCTTAAAACTACTCATTTATGTACGATGTACTCAAATTAAGTCTGTATAAATGCAATATTTATAAAAATTCTTACACTCAATTTTTATACATAATTTCTAAGTTGCGACTATGCATTCCTAATAATTGTACCATTATTGTTTATTTCGATGGAAATCTTTATTTAAAAGCCTGGAGTGCATCTGTATGTAGCTACTATTTATATATATGCTAATAATATCATATGTTATTACAAAATTATACCTGTTGATGTTAAATAAACAGCATAGTATGGAAATCGATTTCTTAACTAAAAAACTTTACATCTCCACAAACGAGGATAAGCCCTAGTTACTAAGCTTTTCATTTACCTACTTTTAAGTTGCAGTCTTTCCGGGATACCGAGCTAATAAATTCTGATTAAGGACAACCTAGCATAGCCTAAGCTAAATGGCACTACTTATATACAAAATATAATCAAAGGTTCATTTAAGTCCGTAAGTTGAGTTAATCAGATGCTAAAGATCTGATCTCTATGGAGTTAAGTTACCTCACATGCCTTAAATAAGGCTCTAAACCTCCACATATCACCAAATAGATTAAGTTAATTATAGGCTCAACCATAACAATAAACGCTGAAGTTCCATAAATCTTTTGAGGATTATGTCGAGTGTTAACTAATAAAGAAGGTTTAGTATAGGTATTATAACCTTATTGCAACTAAATGAGGTTAACAAAAGTCCTTATGGGACACTCTTGGTCCTTTATGCAAATCTTTCCGTACAATTACTTAATTCATGCTAGTATTTAAAATACTTTAGTGATTGCAAAAGTGTACTTGAAAGGCTGAAACGTTATATGAAAGTGTGCTTGGCCTACGCATATGTCACAAGATACGAAATTTCATTTAAGATATTTTAAAATTCTGAACCTAACGACTTATTTTTTTTTAATCCGAAGGCAGAGCGGCCTTACACTATTTTTGTAAAACAAAGAAATATGGTATATTTACGATTAGTAACTAAATCTCACATACTTCAACTCTGCCTTTTCTGAGGATTAAGTTGGTACTACATCTAGAGGCATAGCGGAATACATGTTGGCCCAATAAGTGTCACCCACGATGGTTTTAGTGAAACAAACTTTATTGTAAATAAATAACATAACATGAGGTTATTTCTGGAGAACTTTTTAATGATATTGGCTGTTAATTTACTTTAGCAAGATACTGTCTTACTTTGGATTCATCTTCTTTGTAAGAGCAAGTTGACAGTATTGCAATAATATTATAAGTCTCTATTATTTTGTTCCAAAAGTATTTGTTTACCTAACTTAAATATTTTTTAGAACGATATTTAAAAAATAATCTTCTTCATGATTCTTCATTCATAATAATTAAACCAGTTTAATTTCATGTTTGTAAAAGTAATATATAATATTTACGGCAGGGTTTCTTAAAGTGTGGTCCACGGACCCCTTAGGGGTCCGTAGCAGGTGTATCAGGGGTCCGTAGGAGGTGAGTTTGCAAAAATATTTTTCAAAAAATTGTGTGGTGTGGGGCGCGGGCCCGGACTACAAGCTAGCGCGATGAGTCTTTGGCTTTGACCGTTATTGCGCAGAAATCAAAAATTGGGTATCGAATGCTATGATTGGCGGTACCCATGCGCAGTATCCCCTCCACTCTGCGGTCAAAGACAAAGACTCATCGCGCGAGCTGTATGTACGCGTGAGTTCTCGCCGCCGCCGCCTCGCCCCACCACCGCCCGCACCACCCGCTCGCTCACTCAGTCGCTGCGCGCCGCACGGCACATCGTACCCGCCACTTGCATTGTTTTTAATTAATTAGTGAAACGTACAGGTACGTAAAAAGAGGATTAATAATAATAAGTATTTTTTAATTATACATACAAACTTACATATTCAATTGTGTAACGTACCTAATTGTATATTACATTGTTTCAGTTTGTTCAAGAAAATGTCAAAGAAACGAAAGTATGACGAGTCTTATGTTAACTTTGGGTTTACTTTCGTGACTGAACGTGATGGAACTCAAAAACCGCAGTGCTTTTTATGCGGAAAAGTGCTTGCTAATGGAAGTATGAAACCAGCAAAGTTGTCAGAACATCTTAAAACTGTCCACCCTGGAAATGTATGTGACAGCATTGATGACTTTCGTACTAAGAAGGCTCGGTTTGAAAAAGCCGGCACTTTACCTAAATTAGGATTCACCCCGACACAAAAACCATGTCTTGAGGCATCGTACAAGGTTGCTTACCGTATTGCTCAGCAAAAGAAGCCACATACTATCGCGGAAACATTAGTGAAGCCTTGCGCACTGGATATTGTGGAACTTGTGTGTGGTAAGAAATGAAAGAAAGAAGGTTGAAGCTGTTCCCTTATCAAACGATGTTATTCATTCTAGAATTGTTGAAATGTCGTCAAATGTTTTAAAGCAGGTTATTGAAGAATTGAATGCTTCACCGTTTCCGTTCAGTATGCAATTGGATGAAAGCACCGATGTATCACAATGCAGCCAACTCTTGGTGTTTGTCCGTTATGTAAAACATGATACGCGTAGTATCAAAGAGGAGTTTCTTTTTTGCGACTCACTTTTAGAAACTACGAAGGCTTCAGATGTCTTCGAAATGATAAAAAAATTTTTCATCGCACAAAATGTAGACTGGAAGACTAAACTTGGTAGTATATGTACCGATGGAGCTCCCGCGATGCTTGGTAATACATCTGGTTTTGCGGCTTTGATCAAGAAAGAGTGCCCTCATGTTATAATCACTCATTGTGTCTTGCATCGACATGCCTTGGCTTCACGAACTATGCCTACTTTTTTGAAGGAAGTTATGTCTACATGTGTCAAAATAATTAACTTCATCAGAGCAAGAGCCTTAAACCACCGCCTGTTTAAAAAGCTTTGTCAAGAAATGGGTTCAGAACATGAAGTACTTCTTTACTACACAGAAGTTCGTTGGCTGTCAAGGGGACAAGTATTGAAGCGCTTGTTTGAGTTGCGAGAAGAAGTGTTACTTTTTCTGAAAAACAAAGAAAATTCATTGTATGAATATCTTGAAAGAGAAGATTTTGTGGAAGGGCTAGCGTACTTAGCTGATATATTTACTCATTTGAACGAGATTAACCTGTCTCTTCAGGGTTTTGCAGTCACCATTGTGGATGCGTCTGAACGGCTGAAAGGTTTTTTAGGTAAACTGCCACTTTGGAAAAGAAGAGTGGAATCAGGTAAATTTGCAAATTTTCCGATGTTAGAAGAGTTGATAATGCAAAAAACCCAAAGTGACGGCCACACGACATCAAAGAAGGTACAGAAAGAGGTGTCTAAGCATCTGGAAACATTGCAGACGTCTTTTGAAGGTTATTTCAGCCCAGAGTCGCTTGAAAAAGAAACATGGGTGCGGAGCCCATTTTTAATCGATATTGACAGCATTAGTGATGAAGATCTTATTAAAGATGATCTAATTGACATGAGATCAAAAGAAGTTTTGAAAGCTGAATTTCAGGCAAAAGATCTTGGCGACTTTTGGGGTTCCTTAAGTCAAGCTTACCCTCTTCTAGTCAAGCGAGCTATGTCCATTTTGATACCGTTTGCTACTACGTATCTTTGCGAGGCAGGGTTCTCGATTATGATGTCAATAAAGACAAAAAGTCGCAATCGGTTGAACGTCGCAGATGACATGCGACTTGCCTTGTCGAAGACAGTCCCACAAATTAACGTTCTCATTGAGGCCAAACAACAGCACCCTTCTCATTAACTTAGTTCTTAATAATTGTAATGATTAAAGTTCAAATAAATAAAAGTATTTTATATAATATATAAGTACGGCTTTTTTTTATAACAATTTTTTTTGACAGTGGTCCGTAGAGTTGTTTAAATTTTGAAAGGGGTCCGTGACTGGAAAAAGTTTAAGAAACCCTAACCGTAAATTTTACGGTAATTACAACTAGGTATCTGGAACCGAATCCTCAAAATAGCCGTATTAAGACATACCCTTGGTTATATTTATTGTGTCCATATTTATTACTTAAATAGATCATTGTTTGTAAAAACGGTCAATTCCATATTTTCTGACAAAGATCTTAAAACTGAACCAAAAAGTGATAGCAATATTATGAAATTTTAAAAATATTGATTACACAAAATTCTGTGCAGCAATACCCATTACTAAGTCATTTTTAAATGTCGTTTTAAATAACCTAAGATTTTCAAAACGAATATAAAAGTTCTAAGAGCTATTAACGTTTAATAAAACGCTTTTATTTCAATCTGTGAGTGAACAGATAACTTTTATAACTGTTGTAACATAAAATAAAGTCGTTAAATTATTATCATTTTTATCCCAAACAGAATAGTATAATATATTTTTCGAAGTGTTCTCATTCGATTAATTATCTTTTAGTTTCTTAGTTTTTCATAAGTTGTTAAATATTAATACCAGTAGATTATAAGTTCTCGTTATGTTAATGGTTTAGCAACACGATTTTTATTTTAAGTACGTAAATAATTTATTTAAAATGTAAACCAGAATTTTTCCACTGAATAGCCTTTTACTCAACTGACCTAAACGCATTCTTTTTTGCGACCCTGTAACTCAACGGTCGAGTTGAACATTCACGCTCACGATAAGCGAGTTGAACTGTTGACTTTACAGCATTCAAAAAAAGTTTATATTTTGGTCACTAAAAGAAGATTTGCAGCTTGAATACTCGGTTATATAATTTTATCAGTAAGGTAATCTTAAAAAATTTGCCTTAATGAGTATTTATACTGATATTGATAGAGAGATAACAGCCTTATTCTAGTGTACATAACAAAAAATATATATTAAGTATCAAAAAAATTTGTGTGAAATAAAGTTTTTTGAATAAAGTTTATTTATACGTATACCTATTAAAATACATATTTCTGAAGTGCTTGTGCACTTTTCAAATTCAGATAACGTGATATCAGAGAAAAAATAGTTATAATAACATAACATAAAATCTATTGAAATTTGTATCAATGAATGATGATGAATGAATTTAATACTGCTAATCCTTATGACAGTCGGACTATAGTTTGACGACGTAAAGTCATACAAAAGGTACGGTAATGATAATAATTATGTTTTCTCATAGAACTCATCACCTACTAAAATATATATAACAAATGTAAAAGCATTTTCACGTCACGACCATAAAACTACGTGGGTGGAACTATTAACCATGAAGAGGCAGTAGCGGTAGAATACAACTCTGATGTTCACGCGGACGGAGTTGCGTGCTAAACCTAGTCTTTTATATTTCAATCGTGTCAAGATAATTTAAATGAATTGTTGCTAGTTCTTGTTTAATAGAAAACGCCAAGTATCACCAATATGTAGGGTATAAGCTAGCAGTTCCAAGTATTTAGGGTCAGGCAAAAGTGTTTTGGAATGACCAATAAAAGTAATTTGCATTAATAAAATGCCGAAGGAAAATTATATTCTATAAGAAACTTATTATCACTTATAATATTGATCTAAATCTTATATAAAATTATAGGAAACAGTGTTTTCATTTATCTGCACTTTGAATTATCGATATTTTTCCTTTGAGTGTCTTAACGTCATGGTTATTAATTTTTAATTCTCATAAATTGTAAGTCACAATTTTCTGTTTCACTTTTTGAATATTTTCTTTGAAAAAGTCCCCTTTCAATAACGAGGCATTGAATATCCCGTTTTTGGATAGCGTCCAACTACAAATGCACTCATTTAACTCTTTGATATTAGTTTCATATCAGTTACATTGCCTCCAGATCTTAGATTACCAAGTAATACTAGATTTGACTATTTCTATTCCTCAGCAAAAGGTTTTAGACTTTAAAAATCTGCTATCTTCACACTGCTATACTATAATTAGAAAAGTTTAGCCAAAAGACTTATAGTTTTAGGTACTTATTTCGATTTTAATTTCCCTATGCGAATTAATTGACTATAAAAGAGCATTTTTGTTATATGTGGATATAGAAAACAAACCAAGTCTAGTGTTTTTACGTTGTAACAAAAATCTGAATAATGTAAGTGTACGTACATGCTAATTTAAGAGGTGCCATAACGATATTGTTTTAAATTTAAAATTGCAAGCAAAATGTTGAATTTTTAATCAAGAATATATTTCAAGTTTCACATTTCTTCTTGTATGTTTATACTTAAGTTATTTAGTGTCATAATTTTTTTGATTTTATATATCATAATATATAGAAAGATAATTCAATAGGAATTATTATTTTTTAATTATTTAACCTTTATTGAAATTGGAAAACTAAGAAGGTCAAGGAATATTTGTATCTTACTTACATGAAAATAAAGAGTGTTTTAATATAGGAGTGGACTTTACCTAAGAATAGATTTGGAATTCGAAGATGACGAATATTAGACCTAAAATAGCTAAATGTTATTACTGTTAATAGTCAATATTAAATATAGGATCATATATTTGATACATTGGAATAATCACATTCGATGCTAAGGCCGCTTCGTGCCAGTGCATTAACGTTAGGCAACATCAAAGCCCAAGCAAACTAGTTGACCCGCTTTGGTTACACAATTTACCTGGAAGCTCTTTTAATACACATTTCTTTGAAAACTTAAATACTAGTTACTAAAAATATCTTTTGGAATAAATATATTTTTGTGCTTTATTATATTTTCTGAGATAATTTTTAACTCTATTAAGTTTGTCGTAGAAATTGTATAATAAATACATATCCAATTTCGTTTCTATTATAGAACAGCTGGTTTTAGGAAACCGTTAACTTGGTAATAATAATTATTGATATGATCAATAAGATTAAAAACACATTATTAAGGCTAAAAACACACCATACTCACGAATATCGAAGTATTCAGAACGCTCTCAATGCACTACTTTCTTTCCATATGAACTTAGAAACATACATGTTTTTTGCTAATGAGTTTATATATAATGTAAATAATAAAAATGTATAATCTGGAAATATCCTATAGGGTAAAAGTATTGAATACAATTTTTTAATGAAAATGCAAATATGAAAAAAAAAATAAAAATGGAAAGGTTATTTAAGGTTCATTCAATATAGTTTTATTGAATTGATAATAGGAACAATATTTTATGAAAAGATGTACTTGAAATACTAATATTATCGTCGTATTCTTATACTATTCATAAATAAGGCTTTAATTTGTAAGTTATTTTTTGTATCAGCCTTTGTTTCGAAATTTCCGGCCTAACTGAAACTGCACCGAAACTAAAAAAACCTCTCCAATCCTAGAATTATTCCTTTATAATTTATATTTACGTCTATTTATATGTATGTTATTTTTAGATCAAAGATCCTTGAGTTTTTAGTACAATACTAAAATCAGTTAATGATGACATATAAATTTAAAGTCTGCTATATTTATAAGTTTACATTACGTAAATAAAAATTGAATGGAGAATAGAACATGTAAGAACCATAAACCACAGAACCATAGGAAAGATAGAACACTTAATAGAAAAGCATGTAGGGAGTAAATAGTATATATACAGGTAAAAGCATAACTACATATATATAAGCATAAGATTAATAAGTATATAAGCAAGTCTAGAACAGCATAAGACCTTGTGGCGGCTCTCGGCGGAGTGGACCTGTCGCTTTCGAGTGTCGTGGAGAAGATGCTCGAGAGTGATGGGTCCTGGTTGGCGGTGTCCTCCTTCTGTGAGACGGTCATGTCCACGAAGGAGGCATCTCAGCGGGAAAGGGAGAGGGCGGCTGATGCTCCCCCCCCGCAGGCGACGTACGGGGGTGCGACGGAGGCAATTCCTACGCCTCCAATAGCACCCCTGTGTTCCGGGCTGGGGTCGGCGTGGTAACCCGGCCCTTTTGAAAGCCCGGCGTCGTCGGGGTGGTCCTAATTGCCGGGATCGCCCCCATGCTCCGAGGGAGTAAGTCCGGTCTTTGCCAGGACCGGCCAGTCGCTGGTGTGCCCTGTCGCTGACAGATCCGGGGTACACCGACATAGCGGCCGATGGCTTTCGCAGTGGTTTTAGTGAGTAGGGGCCTGCCCAGGCCGAGCCTCACACATCCCTTCCGGCCCCACCAAGGCCGGTTGGACGGCTCGTAAAAAGAGTTTCCACTACGTCATCAAAAAAAAAAAAGTCTAGAACAGCATATGTTCGACTACTACAACTACTCCTACCAGCCAGTCATCTGCTCAGGCGCAAGTATAGAAAATGAGAAGAAAAGATTGTGTAAATTGTATTTAATGACCTGGGCTAACCCAAGGGCCGTGCTTATCGGTATAGATCGATCGATAGCAACTTATCAGTTGTGGGTTTTAATTACGTATATTATATGTACATTTAAAGAGATAAAAATCATTATAGATAAATGTAAATATTAATATAATTATAAATATAAATAAATTTGTTGCAAGTTATAGTTTAAAGATTATTTAGAATTAGTTATAACATTCTATATTTGTATTATAGATATGTTTCTGTAAATAGCGTCATCATATTTTGTATTTTTATTCATAAAATAAAAATAGTTTACAAGCCAATCAATCAGTTGACATCGAATTTATTCACTGGTCACCTTTAAGTTCACTAAATGACAGTCGATTCGTTTAATCTGTCATTTGCTTAACGAAGAGCCTTTGAGTTGTAATTTGCGCTTCAAACATTTAAAGTAGAAATAAGCATTGTTTTGCGATGATGATGTAAATTTTGCAAAATTATAAATTCACTTAAAAATACTGATTTCAAAATT